AGAAAGGATACGTGGACAGCACTCATCCCCCCACCTGCATTAACATGAGGCTAGCTGGAAGCCACCATCGCTACCATCACCCCCAAAAACTGTCACCCCACCTCTCTGGGGTCTATTGAACCGACCCCCCCAAACAAATCCAACCCTGGATGAGAGATGCTCCCCCCCTCTTTGAGGTCTGATTTAAGCACAACTTCCACCCATTCATCCTCTCTCTCTGTGTGTGTGTGTGTGTAGTACATACCATGGATGAGGGTTACAGTCATTTATATCTGTTGAGGACAAAAAAAATAAATGTTTAGTTTCAAATTTTACAAATGTTCCTTTTTTAAATTATTTATTTACTATCTAAAAGAATGATTAAAAAAAAGCAGCATCAAAAAAATGTATAAATAAAAAGGTTCAATTCCCGTTGCAAATATTTTACATTGCCGCTAAAAAAACAAAAAAAACAAAAAACAAAACAACAACATGGCTGAGACACTGACTTTGGTCACAGGTGGCGCCCTCCCAGCCGTCTTTGCAGATGCAGGTGAAAGTGTCTCCTCCACCCACACAGGTCCCTCCATTGGAGCAAGGACTGGAGGCACAGGTGCTGTTCTTTGCTGAGGAAAAAAAAAATAAAAAAAAATCAACCAATGGTAGAGAACGTGTCTGAAAGAGTCACAGAGTTCGTGACCTCTTTGATAACCTGCTCCAGGAGCCTCACCCGTGTTGCAGGTGTTCCCTCCCCAGCCTGGAGGACACGCGCAGCGGAAAGCGTCACCGTGGTCGTAACAGGTGCCTCCGTTACTGCAGGTGGTGGCGTCACACTGGTTCTCACCTGGTCATCACAGACAAACGTTCACAGTTACACAGTCAAACTGAACTTTTACCAAATCGAACCCAGACAAAGAAAAACGAGAGCTACATGCTAACTGTGATGCTAACCGCTAGGCTAAAACTGAAGCTAGTTTATGACTCGGAGCACGTTAGCACTTGCTGAACCAAAACGATATGTCATCTGATAGCACTTGCTGAACCAAAACGATATGTTATCTGTTATTCCACAAAGTGCTAAATTAACACCAGTTAAAAAAAGAAAATGTTAAGATGACATTTATGTAGTTGTTTGTAATAATTGGAGGCTGTTGACTAGAGACTAGCGTTACTAACTGTTACTAACTAGTGGCACAACATGAAGCAAGACAAACAAACTAACAAGAAAATCTGATTATGTTTCACTTGTAGGAAACAAATAGTGAAATAATTGCTCCGTTCTTCACTTTGACTTGTGGTCATCTCAAATTTCCAAGCTGAAACAAAAGTCCAAAAATCCAAAATGACATTTATTCCAGCTCTGTCACTGTTGCTGTTTCAAACCATCAGGTTCCTGTGTCGTCCACTGTGGTGACCCAGTCTCTGAGAGCGTTACTGACACCCTAACACCTAAAACCAGTCCGTGCGTGACACGTGTCGGTGCGTGGCATCGGTCGGAAAAGACTATTTTAAAGTCACGCTTCGGCTCCGAGGAGACTTTAAAGTTTTAAGGCAGCGGCACGGTGCAGTCGGGCGCCGCCAGTGTAAACACACATTAACGCAGGGCGGCCAACACTCACGGGAATGACAGGTCTTGCCCTTCCAGTTGTCAGCGCACTCGCAGTAGAAGCCGTTCACCAGGTCGATGCAGCGGCCGCCGTTCTTACAGGGGTTGTGTCTGCACTCGTTAACATCTGAAGGTGAAGGAGGACACGAGCGAGAGCAGAGTGAGCAGCTGCTCTGTTCACACACACACACACACACAGGACAAGACAAGGTCAGAGGACAGATCAGTGAAAGCCTGGACTCACTGTGGTCGCACAGTCGACCCTCCCAGCCGTCAGGGCAGAAACACTGGAAGAAGTTGATGCCGTCGATGCACGTGCCCCCGTTTCTGCAGGGGCTGCTGATGCAGTTTAAAAAAAAAAAAAAAAAAAAAAAAAAAAAGGGATTTTGTCAGGACATGGAGAAACGGTCTGGGTGCAAATAAAAGCACCTACAGTTTGGCTGCAAGTTATTCTGTCAAGATAAAGGTCGATATGAAAATAAAGAATGCAAATAATTTCTAATGTAAAAAGATATGAACTCTACAACATTTCATAATATCTATTTGACACGAGACGACAAATATCCCATCATCAGTCCTTTAGTGTCACCTCTGACCCCGGTACTGTAGTACTGTACAATTGTACTGTAGTTTATTTACAGTCAACGTTTACTGTTAATATCCTTTAAAAAGACTGGAACTCTGTTACAGAACACAACATTTTTACTGATGATTTTTGGGCTGTGGGTGAAAACTAGAAGAACCTAGAAGCTTCTTCGTGATACTTAATATCATCAAGACAACATTTTTACTGATGATTTTTGGGCCGCGTGTGAAAACTACCTGGAAGCTTCTTCGTGATACTTAGTATCATCAAATATCAAAATGAGTATATTTGAGAGTAAAGTCATCTTGAAGTAGCCGCGTGTACATATACTACACAAATTTTCTTGAATCAGTTTCAAAACCTGACGTCTGCTCAGGAACAGGAAATTCAAAGTCGCAGAAACAGAACAAGCGGCAGATGAATTCACGTTATATTAGTTCTGTTTGTGAAATTTAATTTTTTTTCATATTTTTTTTTATATTTTTTTTTTTATATGCCCTCATGTACTGGCCTTCTACTGTTAGATCCTTTCAGCTCAGCAGAGGAGCCACCTGGAGGTGAGGGAGGGGCACCAAGTTGTGCTATTAATTCTAAATATAGTTTTATAGTCGGGAGATTTGTTTCCGTCTGTCGCAGCTCGTCAAACATTCCAACAGGCGGAGAAAAAAAAAAAAAAAAAAAAAAAAAAAAAAAAAAAAATTCTATTCCAGACTCACTCTCGTGACAGTACATTCCACTGAAACCCTGATCGCAGACGCAGGTGAAGTTCCCCGTTGGCTGACTGAGGCACCGTCCACGCGGTCCACAGACGTTGGACGAAACGTGTCGTACACCTGCCGAGTCGTTTGTAGCCACGGCAACAGTGCAGCTGTCAATCACTGAAATACAAAAACAAAAAATAAAGAAGACGTAAGCGATGAGATTAAATATATGACAGCTTTAACCGGTCCAGGCTCCTCCATCACCTTGACAAGGTGGGGTCAGGCAGGTGTCTTTGAGCCGCTCGCAGGTTTTGCCCTCAAAACCTTCTGGACAGGCGCAGTAAAAGTCCTGGTTGATGCTGTGACACTGGGCCTCGTTCTGACACGGGTTGGGGTCACAGGAGTCAGGGGTGGTCCAGCTGGAGATCTGTGAGAACAGAGAGGTCACAGTTCCACCTTAAAACTTTATTCACATCAATGTGGGATTCAGTCTCCGTCCGTCTTCAGACGCTGTTATGGAATCGATGTCGCAAATTTCCTCAGAATACCAACAAAAATGGTGTAAACTTTTAACATCCATTAACGCAATTAATCGCAGTTAATTATTTTACCTTTGGTGTCATTAATGTTCGTTGATATGTTACAGACACCTTGCCCTCAGAGATGAACTCCTGACGACAGGCAAGGAGGTGAAAAGTAAACAAAAACAGCATGTGGCCTTGACTGGGAAAAAAAAAAAACAAAACCCTGACCTCTGACCTCACCGTACTGTTTCTTTAACTCAGAGGTGTCCAATAAGTAGATCAAAGGCAGTACTGGTCGATCATGAGAAACTAAAATGATCGGTGAAGCTCAGAGTTTACCACTTTTGTTCACACAAACCCAGTGGTTTTCACCTCACAGCAGACCGTGGGGGTGGGGCAGATTCGTGATTCATCTGAATTATATTCATGATGCATGATGTTGGGCTGAGTCAATATTTGCCCTGACGATGGGTTATCGTCCTGCCCTCTCCAAGGGCGTCTGTCTTGGAGTAATCTTGCCAGATTAGGCAGGGAGAGAGGTGAAACCAAAAGTGTGGATTCTCTTGATGAGCTTAGGGAGACGTTCCTGAGGCTTACTTCACTCACGCTGCTCACCTTTTCATTTATTCTGAGCAGCAGCAGTGGTAGCAGCAGCGGCGGCGGCCGAGCCCGGCTAAGCTGCTAACCTGGACAGACTTAAGCTATTCTGCACTTTCGCCTTTCGCTCAGACGTCATGAGAAATTTGCAAATGAGATTTTCTTGTGAATTTAAATTTTAAAGACCTGATTTGAAAGAATTATCCCTACGGTTGAAGTGAAGACTTAAAAGCATCCTGGTTTTTCTCACGTCATTTTAGACCTTTAACTGGAATTCCAAGAATTTTGGTAAAAGTTAAAGACACACTGGGATTACCAGGTCTTAACGCACAGTAAGATGTTTCAGCGAATCATTTTTACTCAAAGGGAGAGACTAAAAAAAATTGTGAATTGCTGGCGATACGACTGGTTTGACAAGAATCATGAGAATTTGTGACGACTTTATTGTCAATTTTAAAGTTCCTTGTGTTTTTTAGTAGAGGTGTAATCTACAGAAACAATTTGAAATAATTATTTTTTATGCCCACTTTATGAGGATACTCATATTTGATGGCCATTTCCTCAAATCCCCATTCTGGATCAAAATTTTCTTTAAGTATTTTATGCATTTTCTTTTTCAGCAATTGTGTACAATTCCTGGGACTGAAACTCAAACCCGGAACTGAAATAGCAGCTAAAACCTGGATCATCTGAACAGCCTTTCATCCACATTCCAAAAATCCAGCCTTCCCTTTGGCAGGAACCCTGAGATAATTCTGTGAATGAACAGAACACAACGGGACATTTGTGTCGCCTTATAGAAGGACTCCAGTGGGAGTTCCGCTGGCCTTATTTCTCCTGGAGTCATGAATAAAATCAGAAAAGGCCAAAGTGCTGTTACTAAATTCAACATTTATGACGAGGGACGCGGCAACATGATGCTGGAGGCGTCACAGCTGGACAGGAATGGACTTTGTCCCACAGCAAGTATCAGAGGTCTTTAATGTGTGGGCACGGCTCCAGCATCACCTCATTCAGCCAGGCTCATATTTATAGTGGAGATGCTAAATCAGGATTGGCTCCTGACCAGCAATGTCCTCCATTCAGGGCCCAGGAGACCCAGAGGAGTGTCGGTTTCCTCGCTGCTAACCTACTTTAGCTTCAAACGCACACACACACACACAACTTCACACGAAGAAAAAAAGCCCCGGAGCGAGGACATACACGAACCGGGGTTGTGTGATATTTAAGAAACATTAAAGATTTGTGCACAAAAACCTGAAACAAAACAATATTTGTCCCATCAGGCTGGAAAACCCCAGAGTAACGCGGCACAGCAGTCGCCGCCGCGGTCTGGCAGATTGTGGCTCCTGCATCATCTGTCGGCTCAGATGACAAACTGGTAGCGGCTACTACATATTGGCTACTCATGCATTTACATGGTTTTACGAGTCACTTACACTGTATACTGTCGGAAATCCAAAAGTGTCAGGTAAAACCTAATGATTTTGACCTCTGCTGCGGAACACTACCACGTTAGCTTCACCGCGGCGTAGACCGGTGGACTATTACACCAACTAAAAATAGTTCAAATAGGTGGCTCTGTTCACCATTTTATATTAGATGAAAAAAAAAAGTTTTTTTCCCAACTAAAAATAGTTCAAATAGGTGGCTGTGTTCACCATTAGATGAAAAAAAAAAACATTTGTAAAACTAGCTTTTTTTTTCATTCAATAATTTCCAGAATATTTGGAACATTTTATAATATTGCAATTGTTTTGCTAACAAGTAGCACTTACGCTAAGGGACGCAACTACTGTTTTAAGTTGACAAAAAAAAAATTAGTCAACTTGAATATTGACTTTGAAATCATCTTAAAGCTTATATTAGTTCCAGTTCCAGAAAATAAAATATATCTAGTGAGTTTTTTCCCCCTACACATTTTTTCCTAAGACAATGCTGGCATCACTGTCTACCAATTTTTTTTAAATTCTTGCCTAAGGTGACTCTTACGTGGGGTGGGGCGGGGTAACAACCCGACATCATTAAATCATGTGGGTTCTGCGATCAGAACACAGAGCAGCCGACCAAGCGGCGGGTGTTAAATTTTGGCCACTCAACAAGAAGTTCTGTGGCTTCACCCGCGTCGGTGCCGTTGTTGCCTCATATCATCGCCACCAGCCCTGGTAACTGTTTAATCCTGTTCGATGTGGGAAACGTGGAACATGACACTCACCTCGCACAGCTGTCCTCCAAACTCTGGAAGGCATTCACACACGAAGCCGTCCAACACCGCGTGGCAGCGGCCGCCGTTCTGGCACGGCCCGCTGTCGCATTTATTCCTCTGGATCTCACAGTGGGTGCCCACGAAGCCCGGGGGGCACTGACAGTGGTAACCCCTGGCAACCTCCTGAGGAACGGAGGAAGAAGAAGAAGCAGTTAAGACGGCGTCACTTCTACAGTCATGAACTGAAAGGTGAAATCTGAGGTTAAGTCTGACCTTGCACGTGGCTCCGTTCTGACACTGGCCGTGACAGCCCTTCATGCCTGAAAAAAAAAAAATCCATATTATCATTTACTGAAAAAAACACAACATTCACCTTGTGTTTTATACAAAAGAAAATTAGGGCCAGATGTGAAATTATTAGAGTTTTAGACCAATTTTTCTCACTCATATTTGGGGCCAGATGTGAAATTATTAGAGTTTTTTTTGAGTGCACAGTTTAGATGTAAATCTTTGAATTCCAATCTGACAATATAAAGTTCTCCAGGTTCAGACAGAAGTTTTTCAAAGTTCTACCAATTTTTTAGAATTATTTATCAGAATTGTGACAGAATCTGGAGCTGAAATGTCATCTGAGAATAACATCAGAATTCTGTGGGATTTAGAATCTCCAGGTAATTTGTTGATAACAAAATACAAATATTTTAATACAATACAGTTCACATAGTAACATATAATAATAATAATAATAATGAAGGGTTTCCATGTGGCCCTAATTGTCCCTTGAGTCAAAGGCTGAAAGAGAAAAAAATGAGTTGAAAAAACAGATTTTAGGATAAGGCTGGACATGCAGTGGATCCTGGGAGAAAAGACCGGAGCTGATCATGCAAATTCAGATACACGAGTCAGAGACCTGGAGCTGTGGTTATCCAGGAAGGTGAAGGAAAGTGAGGCTACAAGTTAGCTTGTAGCTTTGTGTCCGAGAAGTGGAAAGTAGGTGATTAACGAGTGACCACAGAAGAAGAAGACGACGACGACGTAGGAGGGTAAAGATGGCGAGGAAATACTGACTGATGTTACAGTTTTGTCCAGACCATCCCCGAAAACAGTTGCAGAGATATCCACCAATCAAGTTTTTGCAAGAGTTAGCGTTGACGCAGGGTTTCCCCGCGCATTCGTTTACATCTGTGAAGAAGTGGAAGGAGACCCCAGACCATCAGTAGATAAACACAAAGACCCCAGAGACCGAGCCTCAGAAGGACCAGAAGAACCCAAGACCGTCACCTCACCGTCTCCAAGAAAGGAACCCTTTGTACCAAATGCAATTAAACAGTTAGCCTATTAGCTAACAGGGGGAAACCCTCTTCTCTTTTCCCCCTTTTTTTCTGTCACTCATTGATCTTCACTGAATCTCATTTGGACTAAATTTGATTAAACTTTTGTTTGAAGTTTATTTCAGTTTTTTCCTGTCGCTCTACATTATCATCAGGCCATTTCACTGGAAAGTAAAAAAAAGTTTTGTCAAAGTAAAGCCCAGGATTATTAAAGTTCATTGGACACAATTTGTGGCTAAACTTGAAGTTTTCCCTGTTCTTTCTGGTTATATGTATAAAATTTCAATTTCAATTTTTTTACTTTTAGGAACAAAACTTTGATGTCACCAGGTCCACTTCCTGTCCGATCTAATACAACCAAAAATTTAAACCTTAAATCTTTAGCCTTAGCGACATGCAGACTGAAGTAGAACAGAGTCAACGCCGACCACAGGGCTGCGCTAGTGTGCGTGGCTCTCTGTTCAACTGTTACATTTACGGCACATGAGAAACAAGATGGAGAGAAGTGGTGCTGCTCAGATATTCAAAACGGGTCTGGGGGGGTTGAGGAGGGGACGGGGGCGCAGTCTAACTTTGCAGGGAGTCCGGCTGTGTTCAGTCACACACACACACACACACACCTGTCCTCTCTCTGAAACACAACACCCACCCCCCTCCGACACACACACACACACAGTAACCAGCAGGTAAGACCAATAGCTGCTGGTAAACTGAGAGCTCAGCTGGTAAGACGACACTGGACTCTTGGGATCTGACACCTATCACCAACCACCCAAACACACACACACCAACACACACACACACGCCAACGTTGTTTACCGGTCGTAATCCATTTCCTGGCCTCATGCTGGTCACGTCCGCACACCAGGACACCAGTGATATTGAAACGAGTGTCAGCGACACAAACACAGCCTGATACAGGCGCACTGGTTGTAAAGTCATTGAGGAAAACACACACACATGTACACACACACACTCATTGAAGAACTGTGGGCAGCACATGGCTCAGCGAGGATATTGAAAAACGACTGCTGTGGCCGTGGGGCTCACATCAACGTCGGCCAATTTTATTCCCAGAATACAGTTGGACGACGGTGAGTAATGGCTGCTGTGGACGAGACGACATTTATTTGTTTTTGGAAAAGAAATAAAAAAATTTAAAAAAAAAATGGGGAGAGAAACGGCCTGAAGCACACGTCTCATTTTAAGACCTTGAGATTTTCCAAAATACACAAATACTTCTACTCCTAAATACTCGACAGCGTACAGTATGTGTGTCCAAAATCTGGTCCACGGATCAAAAATAGGACACTTTCATAAACTGGATGTTGGCTTCACGGTCCTGTCCTTTCTCCTGAACTAACTTCTGGTTTATCTTTTAGATACATCGATCTCTTCATGGCCAAATGTCAGAGGAAGAAACTGGATAAAAGTTAGCCGCAACTTTTAGCATTTTCTGAACGAATCTTTCAGCTAACTTTTGTTTCGTTTTTAACAGTTTCACTATGAGTTTTCGCTCGATTTTAAGCCATTTCTGGAGCAACATTTTACTAACATTTAAGTTACTGTTTTTTTTAACAACCTGCGACAGACAAAACCCACACAGCCATGAACACAACACAGGGAAAAACACTGCAAACCGCTGCTGCACCGTGCGGCACACTGTCCATTTTCAAGCACAAAAAATCATATCAAACAAAAAAACCCCATCTTTTTGAATATGTGTTCAAACAGACAGGATCCAGGAGAGAGCTTACCAATCTGGCAGGTCGTCCCTTCCCACTGGGGGGGGCACAAGCACTCAAACCCGTCCTCCCTGTCGATGCAGGTTCCACCTCCAGCACATGGGTTGGATGCACACTCGTCCAAATCTGACAAAACACAAGTGTGTGAGCTCCAGGCTCCGGTCTCAACCCTCGGTGTTAATGTAGAAGAGAAAACTCACTGTTGGCACAGGTCGGACCCCCCCATCCGGACGGACACAGGCACTCGAACCCTGTTGGAACCTCGTGGCACGTTCCTCCGTTGGCACAGGGGTTGGAGGCGCAGGCGTGTTCGGCTGATGGAGGACAGAAGAAGGAGAACTTCACCGGGACAGAACCTTTATTTGTTTTGACAGTTTGAAACTTCACGTGAAACCAAAGCTCGTTAATCACTGCGGTACGGGCCGTCTCCTACCGATCTGACAGTTCTTGCCGGTGTAGCCCGGAGGACAGGCGCAGTGATACTGGTCTGGTTCCGTGTTCATGCAGGTTCCTCCGTTGACACAGGGAAGGTGACGACCACAGTAATTCAGATCTGGAAGATACCAGAGGAGATTAACCCACGCTGGAACCGGTCCTAACGAAGGCTGAGCTCGTCAACAAAGACACCGCCCAACATCACAGGCGTGACTTTCATCAAGTCAAGTCAGGTCTAATTTTTCTACAGCTTAAAATTATAGAAGACAAAAGTTTGTGTCTGTTTTTGTCTGAATTTACAGACTTGGTTTGTCCAGAGAGGAAAATGACTCAGTTTTAACAGAATTCTCTGACAGAACCAGAAACGAAAACATCTGTTGATTAGTTTGAAAATGGGGGAGAGGAGAGAGAAAAGTGTTTTTGTTTTATTCACGACACAAACATGCACAGGGACAATCTTCATCCCCCACAATGCATCTGGAACATTCGTATCCTGGACCAAACTGCCGGCTCGCTGGAGACTTTCGGCCCGCTAACCACCCACATGTGGCCCACAACTAGATGGCAGCATAACGTACTCTGACCCCCTGCTGTTGGCTTCATTGCAAAGGAATCCGAGAAAAATATATAAGAATGGCAGTTATACAATTATAATAATTATATACGTTTAAAAATGACACCGAGCCAACATCACGCTCTCCGACTTCAGACCTCTCTGCTCAATTTCACCATTTATTCCGTTGCTGCGGGAAAATCCCAGCCAGTTTTTTCTCGGGGGCTTCGCTACACCATCTGTCAGCTTTGACAGGAAGCGTGGAGCGTGTTTGATAAACTCAGTGTCTCTCTGTCCTGCATCCACAGAATAAACACACAGACTCGTTCTCTGAATCCATCCCCAGGTTTTTCCACTCCCTGTGCAGAGTAAGCGCTGGATGCTGCACAGAAAGAACACCCGGATCATTCTAAAGGCTGGTAAATAAATGAGCAGGGATCTGTCTCCACTCAGGGATCCTAGGACCCGTTTCTCATCCCCTGAAGAGCCCTCAGTGACGAAGGGGCTGCGGGGATCGAGTGTCCTGGCTGCTGCTCAGATCACAGCGGCAGTACAGCGGCAGAAAAACTATCCTCGTGCTGCTGCTGCTGCTCAGAGAGGAGGAGGAGCCCGGAGCTCCCCGCCAGGTGGAGGTGAAGTGACGGAGTAAATGGATATGATTGTGTTTGAAGAGTAAAGAAAACGAATCAATCATTGATGGAGTTAAGACGGTGAACATTTGTTTGTCTGCAAACACAATTCAAAACAATTACTGAGGTGGTTGACTTTTCAAAATAAAAGAATATGAAGAACGAAATAAAGCTGTAGATGATGAAGGAAGTTAATTTATATATGTATATATAAATATGTATATATATTCATATATGTGTATTTATATATTTACACATACATTTATGTATGGAGGTATACATAAATGTATATATGTACATATATATGTGTATATATTCCTACACAGACACATTTAAATATACCTACACATACACAAATATATAAATATATATGTATCCATACATACAAATATTCTGTTTGTGTCTATATTCTGTTTTATTATTATTTATTAATATGTTTTTTGTTTTATTTTGCAGGTACCTCTGCCCTGAGACTACTACTACTACTACTACTACTACTACTACTACTACTACTACTACTACTACTAGTACTACTCATTTGTGACTCATCTACCGTCAGTGTTGTGTGGGAGGACAGATGATGCTCTCTTACCTTTATCACACAGCAGCCCCCCCCAGTTCCTCTCACACTTGCACTGCCAGGGGAGGTTGCAGGTGCCGTGGACACAGCCGGGGAAGAGCACGCACTCGTCACAGAACTGGCCCTGCCAGCCGTAGTTACACCTGTCAAACACACCAGACAAAGACCATCAGCATCATCAGAAAATATGAAACATTTGGGGAAACTCAGTTATAAATCCTCAGCTGTAGCCCTCAGGGATCACCGCACCCCCATCCAAAACAACGTCTTCTGTCTGACATATTTATTCACTATCTCTTCTCCATTTTAAATGTCAAAAATAGTTTCGTTTTTTTTTTTCCTGGTCGGCCTGTCTAAATCAAACATTGTACAAAAACATGCGAAACAGAGAAGCTGACGTCTTAGCTGCAGCCTGCTCAAAGATGAGGATTAAACTCATCGATTGTTGTACCTGCTGCTTTGTCAACTTCACCAAAGACCAAAGACCATGTCCCTAATCTTAGAGGAGGGTAACATTCCAGGGCAGGAGGGGTTAAGAATACTTCCAGCGACCCCCGTGCTCGGCTTAGAGTCTGGGGGTTAGCCGGAGTCGATGGTTTGTATACACGCCCGCAGCCTCATGACAGCGATCGGCTATTCCAGGGCCGGGGTGTCGCGGAGACAGCTGTCTTGTCAATTGACTGCTATTTTGAGTCTCCTGCAGACGGCACCGCTGCCGAGTCCTTTCAGACATCACTGCCATTCTCAGGCGGAGGAGGAGGAGCGGGGGGGCGGCGGGGAATACTTGTCATGCTCTCCCACTGTATATGATTAGCCTGAGAGAATCTGGCAGCAGCGACGCTAACAGGAGCCTTTGGAAAGGAAACTGCCTTTTAAAAAGTGAAAGGGGAATTCAAGGTGGTACTCGTATCACACACGCTCATCAAAAACACTCGCAGGTGGAGGCACGAAGCTACGGCTGACCTGAATTCCAGCATCCCTGCACTTCACCCCAGTGATTCTCGGGACACGGCAAGCCTCAGACAAATATGCCAGAACAAGTCGAATGTCGGCTTGTAAAACAACACCCTCAATTCACAAACGAAACAACAGGCACATTGCTGCTATTGTGTTCCTCAAAAAGCCGACAGCGAATGGGGCGAAGCCCATAAAAACCTGCTAAAAGGCCAGAGGGAATGAAAGGGAGATGGCGGAGGATTTAACGCCAGCTTTCTGTGACCTGAAGCTTCATTAAATTCATTCCTGCCGCTGCAGGAAGAGCCTTTACCGCCGCTGCTTCACGTTTCCTGTTGAGTGCAACTTGACATGTCATCATAAGCACGGGCTGCTTCCCTCCGTTGTCTGTCTGCTCACTGGAGTACGGATGCTGATGGAGGCAGACAACAACGCAAATAGTACGGATGCTGATGGAGGCAGACAACGCAAAAATTGAGAGCAGTTTCCTGAAGATGGTCTTTCTCTGAGATTCCTCGGCTCTGGGCCAAACTCTCTACTCTACCCCCCCGCCTCACTAATAATGGCAGCCTGGTGTATCTGTGCATCCGGCAGGTGACGGGAGGAGGAGCAGGAGGTGCAGAGATGACGACGGGATGTACCACATCCTGATGAAGCCACTCTACGTCACTTTATCTCCCTCTGGTTTCCACTTTGGGAAAATGTACATGACACAGTGGGATATTCATTTCCTCCGCTGCCCCCTGCCCTGGAATTGGGGGGGGGGCAGGACCGCAATGCGGATAGGGAGGAGACATGACAATTCCCAGCACGTTTATGGTTGTCAAACTCGCAGGTTCTTTTTCTTTCGGTTTGAGCTGCTGAGAGTTGACAAGATGCTTGGTATTCTGTGGAGGGTGGCTAAAAATACAGAGGCCAGAGGCACGGTGTTGGCCTCGCCTTTGGAGCTGAGGTGGAGATGCCCACAAGGGAAACAGAAGCTGGCATAAAAAAACCACCCAGCAGGCTTCAACAAGCAAAGGTTCCTGTCTTTACCGTCCATCATCTGGATGGAATATTTACAGGAATCAAGCAACACAGTGGCTGTGCTGCAGACGCCAAGTGTCTAAAGCAAACAAAGTGGAAAAGACTCTGACGGGGGATGTCTGGCAGAAAATGAAACGTGGAGGGTTGCGGGTGAGGTGGGGGTTGATGATGGAGAACTGCATCACATCAGATGTAGTTACTTCAGAAAAGAGCTGGGACGCAGAACCCGACCAACGTGCAGCTAAAGGATGATAATGGCGTCTCCTTGTTGTCACCTGAGGTCAGGATAGCTTGCTTGCTAACAGCAAATAGAAACATATCAGCTACAGATTTCGGGGAAAGCGATTATGTAAAACATCCAGATCAGAAATATGTCACTTTCAGTTGATATGTTGACGTACGTCTATGTCCAGGACATTAATGAAGACATTGTTATTTACATGTCCTCTATCTGTGTGTTTGACAGCTTCGACCTCGACACAAGAGTCGATTAAAAACATAACAGACTGAACGTTATGCTGAGGTAAAGGGAGTGAAATGGTCTGAACTGAACTCACCTGCATTCACCTGGAATACTGCAGCCGCCACGCACCAGGTCACAGCCCTGTCTGCAGATGGCTGGAGAAAAAGAAGAGGAAAAAAAAATTAGATGAAATTAAATTCAGTTTAGCCAAGAAAATATGTACGAGTTTTCTTTAGAGGAAAAGGGAGGGGAGGGGGCAGAGAGGCGGAGCTGAAGCTCATTGGTTTACAATCTTTCTAACAAGTGCAACAAGACGTGAACATTCATGGCAGGGTGAGAAAGGCAGCACGACTTTACAGCCTGCATGTACAACAGCACTGCCACCCACAACTGCCCCCCCCCCCCCCCCCCCCCTACATACCCCCACTCTTTTCACCCCTCCACTAAGGTCAGCCGGGTGATTTATTAAGGCCTCCCACTCTCCCTAACCTCACCCAGGGCTGGACACACTAACAAGACTAAACCAAGAGGGGGAAGAACTTTCAGTTTAGATTTAAGGAATATTTGATCAATTTTTTTTTTTTTAATTTATTTTTGAAAACTAATGCAAATTATAAAAAATATATAATAAATAAAATATAGAGTTCATGAAACAACCGATACATTTACTTAATGACTAATTATCACTAGATAATTAAGCAGATGAATCACTGCCACAGTGTCTCTCACCCTTGGTGCAGTCCGGGCCCATCCAGCCGTCCAGACACACTGGGGCCCCAGACGGCTCGCAGCGATAGTGGCCAAAGTAGTCGTCGCGGGGGACGCACAGTTTGTTGCACTTGATGCCGAAGTAGTTCTCGTCACATCGAACCCTGAGGCGGTAGGAGATACGAGCCACGGGCCCGTCGTGCAGGATGGTCTGCCAGGGGTCGCCGGGGTTGATCATGCCGGCGTGAGTGCTGCGCTCGATTAGCAGCTCGTCGTCAGCTGCAGACAAACAGGAACGCAACAGGTGAACAAACTGAAGCTGAAAACTCTTTTTGTCTTTTGACTACTGTAGGTTCACACACTGATCATATTAACAACAACAACAATGTGAGAAAAACATGGCTGACATTTTGGTTTTGTTTTTTCTTGCTCTTTCAACTTATTTGGCTTTTTCTGGGCTGACATTTTGGTTTTTTTTTTTTTTCTTGCTCTTTCAACTAATTTGGCTTTTTCTAGGCTAAAGGCTAATGTTGCTAACAGTTCACTGTTTTGTTTTTCTTTGGCCTTCTGTCAATCTTCCCACGAAAAAGGTTTCTGTATTTGCTAATTAGTACATGATCTTTTTTGCATGAGTTTAAGTTTGCTCTGGGAGACAAAGGCCGGTAATTCCCAGCAGCCTCTTCATCAGTGAGGCTGACAGGTATCTGGACGACCAGGGTCTTTATTCTGACACAGTCTTTCTCTCCTTGCATTGTTATTCAGTGTGCAGATGCTTTTTTTTTTTTAATCACAACGTGATAAGTGCGTGCGTGAACCCACTGAATTTTAAGTACGCGATTGAAATTCATTGTCTGCAAACGGGTCCATTTTCTGGGGTCTGCACAGATGGGTGCTCTCCCTCTCTCTGATCTCCCCCTGCCTGCACCGTCATGTCAGGGGGAGGTGAGCAGTCAGCCTACAGTGGACCAGCGAGGACATTAAACCCTGTTTGTCTTCGTGGGGCTCAGTGCAGCTTTCAGAAGAAAAGCAATCTTTATCACAGTGTGATCGAGGCTGGCAAACAATCTGTGTGGAAATAGGGGGTCTGTGATTTCCTCTTCCCCTCCGCGGCTTTGGACCGCAATGCACCACAGACATTTCGGGGCGAGGAAGTGGAGAACACACAAATATGCACACACTGGAGCACACACACCTTCCTCTGTTGGGGAATGACACATTGTCAGACAGAATTAAGCAACAATAACAGAAATAACAGTTGCCAGATAGAGAACAATGGGCTCTGGGCCCGAGCCGGGCTCTGCTACCGCCGTGTCTAAACACTGAGCCCGCCCGCCTAGTCCACTGCACTTCCTGCTCGATAAACACGAGGAAAACAGCCGGGGCTTTTCCTGAGAACATAAGGGGGAAGGGGAGTGAGGTAATGGGGGTGGGGGGGGCATGACGCTGGCGGAGAGGAATCTGATTGACAGAACCCCAGCATTGGTCGCCCTCTACGTAGGTCCAGACAGGAGGGAGATGCTGACTCAGACCAAGTGATGTTCCACAGACAAACACCGAGGAACGCTACAGTGGCTTTAGGATGAAACTCCTAATGGAGAACCTCGGGTACTGAACCCAGAGGTTGAGTCAGAGTTTTATGTGTTTCCCTCAACGCCTGACATTTTAAGATAGACATCAGCTGAAGTCTGTGTCCAGATTAGCTTCTTTTTTTAAATCACACCACAGTTTGGAACTCCATCTCTTCAAAAGGTCACATTCCAGCCCTTTTGGATGTGATAAAGGGCAATTCCTTGGTTCTTATCTTGATAAAATATGAGTCCATTTGGAGGCGATAAAAGAGTGTTTGTTTTTTTTTTCTCTTGCATCCTCTTTCACTCACAACGCATCTATTTCTCTCCTCTACAGGCCATTTGGCTGACAGGCTGGTGGCTGGCAGGGACCCAACTGGAAAAGCAACATTGGGGCATTATATCAAGCAGAAAGATCAGAACTAATTGCTGTAAATGTGCACAATTACTGGTGAAAGGAGACGACACGTGTTGGGCAACAGTCTAATAAAAGAGCTGTGATGTCAAAATCCATCAACCTCCCATTGTCTGAACGCTGAAGTGGAAACGCGTTTGATGTCCTGGACAAAACAGGACGTGATGAACTCACATAAATGGAGCGCGGAAGTTATGACAAGCAAGAGTCGACGTCCAGTTTCTAAAACTCAGGCCTGCGTTCACAGAGAGGTATGTGAGAGTCATGAATAAATACCAGCGTCTCTTCAGATCAGAGATTCATCGACTGAGGCAGACGCTGGAGTCCACAGCGGGTCCCCTTCCTCCCAGACTGAGCTACTGCTCAGACGGGAAAGAGGGGCCGTACGGGAGTCCGCCCAGCGGACATAACACAGGGAAAACAGGATACAGCTGGTCAGCGCTAACTACTGGAGCCAACATAGCTAAGTAGAGCTGCGAGGTGTCTGAGGACGCCTCTATTTATTCACCTTAGCATTTCAATGTTGTCTAAGTAGTACTTGGACCCTGCTGCCTCCCACGTCAAATATATGGTTTATAAACATCGACATTGACGTGAGGAAATATTAGGACGCACCAATGACGCAGTCCACTTGATGTGGTGCGGACCACATGGATTAAAACTGCATCAGTGTCTTGTCACTAGCTCAACTTCTGGCCTTGATGACCTTGGCTGCATGTCAACCATATAACCTGATCCTTTATCTCCATCATCTCCTGTTATTCCAACCATCTTTATGCTGCCTTCACTACATCCATTCATCTTCAACCTCACATCTCTGCCGCTGCCTCACAGCGCCATCCGTGTACTTTAGTTTCATCTTCGACCTCGTTTTCAGGACAGCAACACCTTCCTCCACCCGGGCCACTTTTAAAGAGAATGTCAGCACCTTGATCTCCAGCTTCACTTTCTGCAGCCTGACGACTTGACACAGCTCACTATCGTCTTGTCTTTTCCACTTACAGCATGTCCTAATTTATAATAAATAATTGTACATAGTTCTCTACAAAAACATATGTATACATATATATATATATATGTGTATAAAGTATATATATAGTATATTGTGAGTCTCGAAACCACTTGTCCCGATGGATGTACGTGACAGATCTGAGGTGTGCAGTAAAATAATGACCGATGTTTTCCGACTTACTGTTGCGTGTGGTGTTGTCCCAGTCCCAGGCTTCTACGATCACGGTGTAAGTCCGCTGAAAACAGAGAAAAGACAAAAAAAAGAAATGGTGGTGAAATTACAGATATCATCATTTTTTCATTCAAAATGTTAATGTACCAATAAGGTGAAGAAGATCGTTTGATGCTTTATAGGACACAGCATTAAAGACGCTGCGACGCCAACATTAGGAGTCAAAAAAATCAATGGTTCATTACAATAACACAGGACAGGACTAATGAGTTCACTGACGCTGTACAACTTCCTACTAAATGAAGTCACGATTTTTAAATGTCACACCTGAAATAAGTCTAAATCCACGATCAGTCACGGTGAAGAGAATGACAATGTAAAGAAACAGACGGTGAACACTTCAGTCACAGTCGAGCCTCCCTCCCACAGAGATGAGGGAGGGGGTAGGGTTGGAGGGAGAAAGGGTGATGATGCAAAAATCGAATTTGTTGCACTACAGCGTCTCAGGATGCAATTTGGCAGCGTTGCCCAGAGTGAGGTTGAGTTTCACTGCTGATGAAACCCAACGACTCGGTAAGAGATGAGAGAGGAAGACAGGGGAAGTACAACTGTGAGGGGGAGGCGCTGGCGCAGCTGCAGGGAGTCAGATGTGGAGAGAGGAAAGGATGCACCGGGAAGTATGACACACAACATCCTGCACTGCATCATGTACAGTATGTGCACTGTCATTGTGCAGCAGAGCCGAGGAAATGGCTGCAGTGAAAGAATTTGCAACAATTAGCCCACATCTTTCCTGCCTGTACTCACCCCCGGGACCAACGTGAAATGTATTTTTAATCATTGTTTCTGGAGCAAAATACAATGTGTGTGTGTGTAACTCACAGTGAGGAAACATGGAAATCATTTTTGTCCAAAGATGTTTCATTAAAGGAAGATATTCGTTTTAATCTGCTTAGAAAAACTAAATCTGCAGTTTTTCTTGGAAGGTCCAAAAGGTCTGGTTTCAAACTGATTCCAAAGCTGATTGAAATGATGATGGTTGTTTGAGTGTTTGGCAAAAATATGACAATATTTTGTTATTATTAAAGTGTTAACTGTTAAACTGATCAGGTATCGGGAAAAAACACATTTGTTTCACCAAAGAAACAGTGAGAGCAGAGAAGAACCAGGTCAGACCCAGAATAAAACCAGACAGTAAATGTTATGGTATGTTAGATGTGAAGCCAAGGTAGTAAAAAAATAATAATAAAGGCAAAAACCTTATGAAAAGTCAACACAAAGACCGTTCAAAAACAGATTATTACCAGACGATGAAAACGACTCCATGTCGTCGAAAAGAAAATCAAATGTCGGCAGTAGCCACGTTAGCTCTTTGTGTTTTTAGGATAAACCAAAGCCTCATCAGTTAATGGCGCTCAATAATATTCAGGTCACTTTGCCAACATTAGCTAAGTGCCTTGATTTGTCCTTGGTTTCCAGACAGTGTGGTAAATCAGCAGCTAAGGGGATTATCTTGGTTTCACAGCAACTTGTGCTCTAACGCTGACCAACATTGTGAACATTGTGCTTTGAAACATCACAGAGATCCTGATGAGTTCAAAAAAAAAAGGTTCTAAATGGATGGACGTTTTGGAGGGATATTTAGTCGCAGTTCGTACACGGAGCCTGTCTTTATTTTGTCTTTGTTTTGGGATTGTTACTTTGTACTAGCTCTCAGCAAACCAATCAGAGGCCTTTGTTTTTTGCAAGTTATAATAATGACATGACACCAGTCATCCAAAATGTGATTTAAATTCAAGATCTCCAAATATCTTTATATATCCAAGAAGTCGCACAATATCCACCCAAGAGTCTGGCAACCGACAATTTGCCAATTTTTAATTAGCCGCTAATAAACCTGCTCGCTAATCAATGAACACCCAAACCTGATGAGTTCATAATTAAACCTTAATCCAACATAAAAAAGTCAAAATAAACAGAAAGAGACAGAGATGGGGGAGAGAGGGAGGGAGAGAGAGAGAGAGAGAGAGAGATGGGAACTAACCACTGCTAGGCAACCAGCTGACCTAAATAGCATTTGTTACGTCACCAGCAGTGACAGTTGTAGTAGCCGCAGTGTGACTGTTGTGACCTCTACTGTAAAGTCATTGACGGTCTGAAATAGCCGTCGGTACAAAACCATGTGGGAGGTCATGGTAGAGTCTTCCGGCTGCTTCCATGAGAATGGAAAGAGAGATCACACAGATAGGGATTGGGGGAAAAAAACGTGTGTGTGTTTGCTGGAGTGTGTGTGTCTGTGCTGTTGATCTGGGGGACCAACAAGCTGGTAGGCTGGTTGCTGCTGGGCTGTGGGATTAAGTAGGCTTGTCTGGCTGCGGGTGGCGCTGAGCAGCAGGGGAGGGGTGGTGACAACAGAGAGAAATGGTAGATGATGAGTAGGAGGTGACGGGAGTTTGAATGTTTGGTGGTGCCATCATCCAACCAATGGCCAAGATGAGAAGGTGGTGGTAAAAAAAACTGTAGTAGCGAGCAAGCTGGGCGTCAAGGTGACCTGAAGGTGGCGTCTGAGCTCCGTCAATCCGTCCAACTGTAGACGCTCAAAGACGAAAATCCATCTCAAAGATGGACAGTTTGACATGAACGTGGATCATCCCATGATACGTAGCCCGGCTTCTGACCTCCCCACCCACACCCCCCTGCCCCCCCACCACCAGAGGGGAGGGCTGGCCGCCCCAGACTGCTCGTGTGAGCGGGTGTATACATATGTCATTGCGTACAAAAAAGGAACTAGGTACAAGTTACAAAGCATGACACAGTGAGTGGACATGTCATTTGAAAGTCTGTGGCAAATGTGAGGAGAAATGTGCCGCGGTGACCACAAGGGGAGCAGACGGGTCTCATTAAAGACCAACTGCAGAAACAGGTGGCCATATTTTGAC